AGGCAAGTTGTATGATTGGTGAGTGACAGAGAGGGGGAGGGGTTTTGGAATGAATGCTGTGTGGATGAACGGATATGTCAGTCAAGAGTTACAGTTAAGGATGACAGTTAGAGAGTTCTGAGTTACAGAGTGGAGATACAGTTAGACAGTACAGTTAAACAGATAAGAAGAGGCTTCCCTGTGTGGGTTGCTTAGTTCGGAGTAAAACAGTTAGTCAGACAGCAGAGAGTGCTGTACAAAAGCAGTTAATATATTAGTTTTGTCCTGAGGTCTCTGTGTGAGACGGTTCCTGTGTGAAACATAAGAGAGAAGTCTGGTGTGTGTTAAGAAAAGTTAAAGCATAAAGAAACAGTGACCATATATGGCTAAAGGAAACTATTGTTACATAGTGACATGCCCAGAGCCCTGTCAGTGAAGAGAAAAGTGTGTGAAACAGCAAATAAATCTACTTTTATTTAAGATAACAGTTCTGAACGAAATTCCTCAGGAAATAACACATAGTCCTTCATGAATGCCTAGACCCTGGCCACATTACCAAACCAGAAGAAGAAATATATTATAGTAAGAGGCTGGGAAAGCCTTAAATTTCCCTGGTGGCGGCGAAAATACCCTATAGAGTAAAAACATAAGAACTTTTAAAGGCAAACCAGACCTCCCCAGATAAGAGGTCGTCACAATGGGCCTTTGGCCTGATCCAACATTGGCGTCTCTTATGTTCTTCTGACTGTAAAGTTTCCTTCAAATTAGTTGCTGTAGATTTTCCGGGTTGTCCTTCAAATTCTTAACCTGTCTGTGTACTAATTGCTTTGTATAGTATATTTAAATAATCAGAATAGCTTAAGAATTGGAATATTTTGGAGCAGTGTTCCCTCTAAGCTGAGTTAGTGTGAGCTAGCTCACAGTTTTTTAGCCTCCGGCTCACACATTTTTGTCTGGGCTCAGGAAGGATGGCTCCAGAGCAGACTAATTCATGCAGTAGCCAAATCGCTCGCTCACAACTTTAATGCCTGTAGCTCACAACGCAGAAATTTCGCTCACAAGACTCCGTGACTTAGAGGGAGCACTGTTTTGGAGCTTTATTTGATGTTGTTATAAGCAATCATCAGAGATCTACACTGTGCTTGGAAGGGCATACTAGTCATATAGCCACAGGTATACAGACAGAGCAGTGCATTAGTATCACAGGGTATGAGTTTGCAAAGGGAGGACCACCACCCTTATGGCCGTAAACCCATTGGTTTTGGGCTACATATCCTCCCCAATAGGATGCAGTCTCATGGCTTACAAACTCCAATATAGGTTAGTGTAATGGAAAAGCCCCACTTTCCTTCCTCCTTGCATACAACTTTGCTTTCAACTCCTGTTTTAGACCTATCCAGAATTTGCCACTGGATTTGAATATATCTACCTAGCTTTCAGAATTGGCAAACTACAGCTTGTATTTCCTTCTGTTAATCTGGGCCTGCCAAAACCCTGAAGAGTCTTGAGTTGGTCTATTCCAAGTTCAGCTATGAAGAACACAATGGATCCTGTTCAGTGGATCCATCCAGAAGTGCTCTGAAAGCCCCTGAGAACTGTGTCAGGGAGCCTGGCCGATAACATGGATGAAGACAGCTACCAAGGCTGTGGCACAGCCATGACAAGGCCAAGGATCTGAGCCAAGTAATGCATGGGGGTTTTGTTTAAGGGAGAATGCTGGCTGTATTGTGCCTTGGATTAAAATGAGGTGAAAAGGGAAAATGGAAGTTAGAAAACTACTCTGTAACCAAGGAAAAATGTTAACGGGTACAGCTTAGGTTGTCTGAGGGACACGTCTTCCGTGCTTTTCCCCTGATGCTGCTGGAAGGAAGAAGCAGGAAGGGCAATTTTGCCCCCTTCCCCCTCACTTCCACTCACCAACATATGAAGTTCACATGATCCCAGGAGTCCACTTTCCTGGGGTTGGATATGGCTGCTGGGTGGGAAGAGAAAGCAGGAAAAATCTGCAACCATCAATACCCTACACTGTTGGGTTGCTGAATCCAATCCTTCATCTTTTTCTTACCACTGTATGAGGCTCCATCGTACTCAGCATTTAGGCAACGGTCTATGCAGTCAGTGGCTCTGCCTTTCATCCTGCATGCTGAATCAGATCAGAGTCTTGATGGCTCCTGCATTTCTTTGCTGTGCATAACTGAATACTGTTGTCTCAATACAAATTTTAGTTTGTTTTGGTTGAAGTGCTGAGTTTGTGTTCCTTACTGATTCTGTGTGGTACACTGGGGCAAGGTAGAATTCCGGTTTAACACACACACACCCAAACCAAAATCAGAAACTGTGCTGTCTTTGGACAATCACCTGGAAAGAGCCCCAATTTGTCTTATGACTCTCAAGCCAGGAAGCCAACCCAAGGAGGAAAAAGTCCAGCAAACCTGCAGCCGAGGCTACATCATAGTGATCTTGTCTCTAATGTGGTGGACAACATCGGGGTTAAGGATGGCCCGGGAAGATCCGCCACAATTTCTGCGTGACCGATACCTCTGGATTTAGCTGGTTGGGATAGGCTATAGGTTAACATCATCAACTGTCTGTTTACTATCTGGCATGTATCTGGAGACCATCTTGTTTTTAAACTGTTATTAATGTTTTTATTTTTTGCTTTGCCCCTTGTAAGCCGCCCTGAGCCCGCTCTGTGGGGGGGATCTCAATAAATAAATAAATAAATATTTCAGATCTGTGTGCTGAACAGCATCACTGCAAGAAGCTGAGCCCTGCATATATGTTTATACACACACTTTAAATTACAGCACAACTTCCATAAACACCATTATCCATTTTAACTATTTTACTGCAAATTAAAACAAACATGGTTTGTAGGTACGTTATGCATGTTCACGCTAACAGGATCTTTTTCTTACCTTGTTACTACTTGATGCGTGTAAACTCTATTTGGACTTCCAAAAGATTTTGCCAAACCAAAATCAGCCAATTTCAAAACTCCATTTTCATCTAGCAGCAAATTGTTTGGTTTAAGATCCTTAAAGAAGAGAGAAAGCTGAGATTAAACACCTTCCCTTCCATTTTTTTCCTTTTAAACAGGCAATCAAGATGTAACCTTTAACAGGAATATTCTTTACTAAAAACAGCCAGTAACTTGTAAGTAAATTCACGCAAGACTGAGGTGCCAGCTACAATGAGTAATTTAAAATCAGGCTTTAGCCTTCATGTTTGAAAGCAAGAAGCAGTTTTTCAAGACCAGGGCCTCAAACTTGCCCTATCAGCAGATAAGAGCTTAGGATGAAACATACAGACCACTTCATCAGTACATTGTTTGGCATCATAAGAAGCACTGTGCTGGATCAGACCAGTGTTCCATCTAGTCCAGCACCCGGTTTCATCTCACACAGTAGCCAGCCAGTTGCCATGAAAGGCCAAAAAAGGGCATAGAGCGCAAGGCCTTCCCATGATGTTGCCTCCTCAAACTAGTATTCAGAAATTTACTGCCTCTGAACGGGGAGGTTCTCTTTAATCACTATGGCTAGTAGACACTGACAGACCTACCCTCCATGAATCTGTCTAATCCCTTTTAAATACTCGTGGCCATCACTACATCCTCTGGCAGTGAATTCCACATTTTAATAACTCATTGTGTAAAGAAGTACTTCCTTTTGTCTGTCCTGAACCTATTGCCCAACAGCTTCTTTGGACGCCCCAACAAGTATTTTCGGATAGGAAGAAAAAGTTCTCTCTGTCCACTGTCCCTATCCTGTGCATAATTTTATAAACCTCTATTGTGTCCTCTCCAGAGGTGTCTCATGTGCTAGCCACACAAGAAAGTTCTTCTTCTCGACAGGTAGACAGTGACATTAATGTGTTTACAGCAGTGGAAAGTGCATTGAGGCAGGAAGGATGATTGCACTGAGGTCCACCACCTCACTGTAGTGTATAGCTGTTTGGCCCACAGCGCCGGGGCAGGGGTGGGGGAAAACTGCTGTGAGAAGGGGAAGGTGAAAGAAGATCCACTTCCACGAGCAGTTTAGTAGGATCCAACCCATCAGCACTACCCTTCAGAAAACTGCTACTCATAATGTGATAGCCGTCCCACCAGGTTAGGACAACCAGAAACAATCACAAAGACTAAATATAGAATTAAGATTGTTAAAAACCAAAAACTATATTGAAAAATGATATTTCGAACTCTTAAGAACTGAACGCACCATAGTTTGTTCTACTTTTTATAGCAGTGTGTTCACAGGCTCAAGAGAGGACTCAGGGCTTTCCTTAAACTTGGAATTACGGCTTCTTTTTTTGGCACCATCAAATGTTGGCCCCAACACCCTGCACGTGAGCAATTCTTTCCTTGCATAGGAACCATTCGTTTTGTTTGTGTCGAGACTTACCCTATGAAGAATCCAGTGATCATGTAAATATTCTAAACCCTGTAGCGTCATCAGCATGTATGCTTTGATGTGAGAGGGTGTCAACACAAGACTGGTGTCTTTTATTATAACCTGCAAACCAATACAAAATGATTTTTAAAAACTGCATTACTTAGTTCTAAAGAAATACGAAGTTATCTTAAAACATGCAGTTGCCCAGTGACACGTTCACTCTACACAGCTGAAACTCACGGGAGAGCCACTCCCTCTGATGCACACCTCTTTCAAAATTGCAAAGCCCTTTGTATACTGAAATCAAAAAGTGGTTATGGAATATGCAGGCATCATCAATCACATATTTATATTCTCCATGGGAGACATTACTCTGCAAAGCTCCACATTACATAGACATTCCACTATATATACACAAATGATAAATGCAATGTGTATTAGGGCAACTTTATATGGTTCAGCTTCTCTATGAAAATGTGTGCTCATTTTCTCTCTCTAACTCAGTTGCGGAGCGTTATCAATTACAACCACTCAGTTTCAGCTTGCATTGGCTTCAGAGAGCAGTTATTGAACTACTTTGGCTGTACACTTCTTTCCTCTTGCAGCCACGCAGAACTCATTAAAGGCTAGCTTTCACACATGCCTCAGTTATTCCATGGGTCCTTAACAAATCATCCAAATCTTGTTTATGAATTTCAGTGGCTTCCCTGTGATTGGCTGTACACTTCTTTCCTCTTGCAGCCACGCAGAACTCATTAAAGGCTAGCTTTCACACATGCCTCAGTTATTCCATGGGTCCTTAACAAATCATCCAAATCTTGTTTATGAATTTCAGTGGCTTCCCTGTGTAATCTGATATGGTTATTGGATGTGTTGTCCAGTCTTGGAATAAGATACTGCATCCTGTTTGAGTTAGGCTATGTTCAGCAACTGCTGATTTTTCATGTTGGCCCAGTCTGCAGTGTCTTTCATGTGCTTTTATTCTTGTCTGAATGCTACGCTGTGTGGTCCTGATGTAAACCTGTCCACAACTGCAGGGTATGTGGTGTACTCCCGCAGAAGTGAGGGGGTCTCTTCTGTCAGGTCCTACAATGCCAAGACCACGGCCATACAACCCAGAAAATCTACAACAACTAATGAACTCCGGCTGTGAAAGCCTTCGACAACATATTTTCCTCCCATAATTTTTAGCTGCGGTATTTAAAACAAGAGAACAGGCTTAGTACTGTCCAAGTCACTCTGTGTGTGCACATGTCCAGATTTAAGAAGCCAGTAAATTAGTCGTGGTTTGAGCAACCTTACCTCTAAATCTGTTTCCATAAAATCAAACACTAAACTGATGTTAGATTTGTGTCCAAATGCATCTAGAAGCTGAAAGATAAGAAAAATTGTTCAGTTACTTTAACGCTCAGGTTCTATAATATAAGCTTTACAAACTGTTGTGAAACCTGCCTGGTTTTAAACACTTGGGCTCACTTTTTACACTCTAAGCACACTTAATTATGGTTCAACGTGATACCT